CGGAGGAGGGCGGGGCTTGGGGAGGGGAGGGACCTCAGTCCACCTTCCAGAGGAGCCATTTTCTCCCCGGGGGTGGGGGGGCTGATCTCTGTTGCCTGCGGATCCCAGGAGACACCCCCAGCCAGTACCGCCCCCTGGAGGCTGGCCGCCCTTGTTTAGCCAGGGATGTGGCATGATCCACCCCCGCGACAGCCGCATTGCCTGTGGGCCGTGCCGCCTTGGCGGGGGCAGGGTTTGTTCTATTTTCGTTGAAGATATGTTCATCCTGCCGTTCTGAGAAGCTCAAAGTGGGGCTCCCGTGTACAGAAGCAGCAGAGCCCTGAGTCCCGGTGCCAGGAGGCCTCCTCAGGGGTGGGGAGGGTGCTGGCCCCGCACACCGGGGGGGGGATTCAAGGCCCAGAGGCAGGAGGAGTGCCCTGGCCCGGAGGAGTGCTCTGTGGCTGCCCAGCCGGGCTCCCCTCTCTCCCGCCCCAGGCCCTTCCAGAACGTGACGGGACACGTGGGCCAGGACGCCTGCGGAGCCAACAGCTGGAACGTGGTGGACGTGGACCTTCCGCTGAGCAGCGACCAAGAGCCGGGCGTGGGGCTGCAGAGCCTCAAGCCCTGGACCCAGTACGCCCTCTTCGTGCGGGCCATCACCCTCACCACTGCCGAGGAAGGGCGCAACTACGGGGCCCAGAGCGAGGTGGTCTACATACGCACCCTGCCTGCAGGTATGGGGGCGGGGGGGCAGTGCAGGGGGGCAGGGTGGCGTGGAGCCCCAAGCAGTTGGCGGAGGCAGCCTCTCAGCAGAGGAGGAGGAGGGGGCTGCCTGCTGGCTCCGGGGCCCCATGGGAAAAGCTTCAGGAACGGCGGGGCAGCAGCCAGACAGTCAGTGGGGCTCCAGCACCCCCAGCAAATCCAGATGCCTGCAGAGGACGGAGGTCAGTTACCCCTGAGAGACACACACACACCCCCGCCGCCACAAATCACCTTTCCTGCCCCGCTGTTCAGGGCCCCTGTGTGCGCCTGGACACCCCCCAGGGCTCCTCGAACGGAGCAGAGAGGGAGGCATAAGAGAACACGAGAGAACACGAGAGAGAAGCCCAATGCTGGATCGGGCCAGTGGCCCCACACTCTCTGGGTCACACAGTGGGGGCCAGAAGCACTAGGGGCCACCGGGAGGGCCAGCAGTGGGGCCAGGAGGGCACTAGGAGCCCCTCCCACCACTGTTGTCCCCCTCCCTCAAGCACCAAGAAGACCGAGCATCACTGGCCCCAGACACAGAGTCCCTACTGATACCTTGTGGCTGAGAGCCACTGATGGACCTCGGCTCCACATGCTTATCCAATCCCCTCTTATAAGAACATAGGAGAAGCCAGTGTTGGATCAGGCCAATGGCCCCTCCAGTCCAACACTCTGTGTCGCACGGTGGCCAGAAATACCAGGTGCCCTCAGGAGGTCCACCAGTGGGGCCAGGACACCAAAAGCCCTCCCATTGTTGCCCCCCCCCACCAATCACCAAGAACACAGAGTATCACTTGCCCCAGAGACCCTATCAATACCTTGTAGCTAATAGCCACTGATGGACCTCTGCTCTATATGTTTATCCAATCCCCTCTTAAGAACATGTTTATCCAATCCCCTCTTAAGAACATAAGAGAAGCCCATGTTGGATCAGGCCAATGGCCCATCCAGTCCAACACTCTGTGTCACACAGTGGCCAAAAATACCAGGTGCCCTCAGGAGGTCCAGCAGTGGGGCCAGGACATTAGAAGCCCTCCCACTGTTGACCCCCCCCAGCACCAAGAATACAGAGCATCCCTTGCCCCAGAGCCCCTATCTATACCTTGCGGCTAATAGCCACTGATGGACCTCTGCTCCATATGCTTATCCAATTCCCTTTTGAAGCCGTCCATGCTTGTAGCCGCCACCACTTCCTGTGGCAGTGAATTCCACGTGTTCATCACTCTTTGGGTGAAGAAGGACTTCCTCTTATCCGTTCTAACCTGACGGCTCAGCCTTTGCTCTTCGGATGCCCTGGGGGCAGGGTTGGTTTTTGGGTTGTTTTTTTTGAATGTGCGCATGTATCTCTGCACAGGGTGGGATATCCCATCCGTGCACAGTAGGCGCCTCAAGGTATATATGGAAATCATATATGATGGCTTTAATGAGACGACCCGTGGAAGAGGCAGCCCTCTCCGAGAGTTCCTCTGGGCAGCCACCTCCTCGAGGCCTCCAGGCCAAGATAGCCCCCCCCCCCGTTCTCTCGCTGCCCACCCTGGGGAAGGTGCTTCAGCTGAGGGAAGCGAGGACGCCACGGCACACGCTTTGGGGTGGGGTGGGGTGGGGTGGAGCCTGGCTCCACTTTTCTGTCTGCCACTCGAGGCCCAGGCGGCCTGAGGCGGTTTGCTGTGACCCCCGACAGAGCACCACTTTGAAGAACATGCCGACCAAATAAGCCACCCAGAGCGGCAAAGAAGACCGAGGAGGGTAGAAGAGGCCCACAGGCACGAGGGGCCCTCCAGCTACGACCAACCCCTCCTTAGGTATACGGCCGTCCGTCAGACAGCTGGTACCCTGTCGTGGCCAAAGAGCGGAGGAGCAGAGCCCCAGGGAAACCCTGGTCAGTTGAAAAGTCTTGTGAGGAAAAGTCCAAGGAGGAAAGGCCGAAAGAGTTGGGTCTGCTTAGCCTGGGAGAGAGAGAAGGCTTCGAGGGGACATGATGGCGGTCTTCAAGTATCTGGTGGGCTGCCGTGTAGAAGATGGAGCGGATCTATATTCTCTCTCGCTCTGGATGGCAAGACGAGATCTAACGGGTGGGAATTACAAGGGAGTCGATACCGGCTAAATATCAGGAGAAACTTCCTAACTGTGAGGGTGGTTGAGCAGTGGAACAGACTGCCTCGGGAGGTGGTGGATGCTCCTTCGCTGGACGTTTCCAAGCGGAGGCTGGACGACCATCTTCCGGGTATGTTGCAGGGCTATCTTTCGGCTGTGAAGCTGACGGGCAGTAGGTTCAGGACAGACAAAAGGAAAGACTGCTTTACACAGGGAGTGATTGAAATGTGGAATTCACTGCCAGAGGATGTAGTGATGATGGCCACAGGAATTAACAGCTTTAAAGGGGGGTTAGAGAGGTGCATGGAGGAGAAGTCTATCAGTGGTGACTAGCCATGGTGAGTAAAGGGAACCTCCACAGTCAGAGGCAGTCAACCTCTGAATCCCAGGGTCAAGAGGCAACATCAGGGGAAGGCCACGGCCTCTCTGACCTGTTGTTTGTTGGCCCCTCTGTGAGAGAGGGTGCTGGACTAGATGGACCCGCACTGGTCTGATCCAGTGGGGCTCTTCCGTTCCGATGTTCTCATGTCCCAGGAGAAGAGCAGACCACAGGTGTGTGTGTGTGGGGGGGACATACATAGGCTGGGTACGAAGATCTTAACCAGTTGCTCTGGATCCTGGCCAGGGACTCCGTAGGTTCTCAGGAATCCCCAGATAAATTATATGAGAGATCCAGGTTTACTTACAAGGAAACCTTTCATAATGCATCAGAGTTACAGAAGACACAGCCCAAGTTTCCATCAGCCAGTCCTCGAGTGCGCCGCACATGCACAGTGAAACGTAGCCAGACCTCGAGCTCAGAAATGCATGACTAACACAACACATCTCATACCCTAAGTGCTGGCTGCAAGTCAAAGGATTATTCCCAAGCACTTGGGTGAGCCAGGCCGACTTGCGCCCGGCTTCCAGCAGTGGAAGAAGCAACCCAGATAAGCGCTGCCAGCAAGCAAGAGATAGGGAGGGAATTGTCCTGGGAGCGGACAATCAGCTTGCTCAAGGCACCAGCAGGCAGCAGCAAAGACGGAGTCACCCGGGGCACCGGGTGGTAAGAGGATGGCGGCTCTTCCTCAGTGGTGATTGTCACCCAGGCCGAGGTGCTTTGTGGAGGGAAGATATTTGAGAAGAAGCCTCTGAGTCCCCGCCTGCCTGCCTCCCTGACTTTCGCTCTCTCCGTCTCTCCCTCTCCATCCGTGGCCAGCTCCGACTGTGCCGCGGGACGTCATCTCCATGTCCAACTCGTCTTCCCACCTCATTGTGCGATGGAAGCCGCCCACCCACCCCAACGGCAACCTGACCTACTACTTGGTTTTGTGGCAGCAGCTGGCGGAAGATGCCGAGCTGTACGTCAATGACTACTGCCACAAGGGTGAGTGAGGCAGGGCACCTCCGGGGGCTTTGGGGGCCCCCCTCCCTGGTCCCCGGCTGGAGCTGGCTCAGCCCCCACCCCCACCCCTCCTCTCTCTCTGTCTCTCTCTCTGGGGCACAGGCCTCCGGTTGCCGACCAGCAGCGCGGACACCCGCTTCGACACGGACGACAGCGAGGGCCTCAACAAGGGCTCCGAGGAAGACCACTGTTGCCCCTGCCACAGCCCCGTGGGGCAGCCCCCCCTGCAGCCAGAGTCTTTCCGGAAGAGGTTTGAGAACTTCCTGCACAACTCCATCATCATGCCCAGGTAAGGGGGGGCGCCCGGGGCAGGGAGGCAGAGCGGTGCTGGTGGTGGTGGGGCAGTCAGGGATCCAGGGCGCTGGCCCTTGGGCTCACGGGTTCTGCCAGGGAACGGCCTCTCCTCTGTGCAGGATCTCTTCAGAGGAGCCCCCCCCATGACTGCCCAAACCCAAACCACCTCTCAGTCAACGGCCAGAACCAGCCCCCCCCCACTTTGAGCCTGTTACTTGCAGCCCTTCTCTGGGCCTCCCCCCCCCACCAGAAGGGAGGCAGCGTTTCCGCTCAGCCCAGCCCAGCCCAGCCCAGCAAGCAAGCAAGCCCCCTCCCTGCAAAGACGGAGGCAGAGCCCCCCCCAGCTTTAAGCCAGGCCCACACCCACCAGGACACCAGAGGTCAGGGAGCCGTCCTGATGGGGCAAGGGGGGGGCCCTGTTGTGTATGCTGGCCGCCACTGGGGACCAGCGAACTACCTGAGCTTGAATCTAGAGGACAATAGGGACTAGGCTCCTAGTCCCTCCAGCAGGGAACCAATGGGCCCCGTGGCGGGAAATTCAAACCCACCAACGGGGTCCAGGGGTGTGTCCCTGGAGTGTATATAGTTGGCCTGCCGGCCGTTAGTTGTCCGTTCTTGTTGTGTACCTAATAAAGCGTGCTATGCACTACGTCCGTGTCAGTCATCTATCCATGCGGCAACTCACTACATAACAGTGGTGACGAAGGTGGGATTCAGCCGCATCTGAGCCGGGCCGTCGCGAGGGACCGAGAGAACGTGAAGCAGCAGCGATCCGATGAGCGATCCAGCCGGCGAGGCTGCTTCTCTCCCACTCGCTCCGACGCGCACGATGGCAACCGCTCCAGGGCTAGGGCTGCTTCCGCCCTTCGACATAGCCCGACCGCGAGACTGGCCAGCCTGGGTCAGAGGCGTCAAGTCCGCGCTGGAATTCTTCGATGTCACCGACGAAGGCAAGAAGAGGGGATTCCTCCTGGCCTCCTGCGGCACCGCCGTGGTGTCCCTGGCCGAACGGCTACTTTCCCCAACGGACCTAGGCGACTGCACCTTCGAGCAGATCGTCACCGCGGTGCAAAATCATTTCGCACCCAAGCCCACAGAGCTGACCTGCAGGGTAACCTTTTACACCCGCAATCAACAGGGCAGAGAGACCGCCGCAGAGTTCCTTGCGGAGCTGCGCCATCTCGCCACCGACTGCAACTTCAGGGCCAATTTGGACGATGCCCTCCGTGATCACTTCGTCGTGGGCTTGTGGGAAGAGAAGCTCAGGAAGAGAAGCATGGAGAAGGAGAAGGTAGACCTAAAAGAGGCCCTCGCCACAGCCGTCGCGTGGGAATGGTCGCACACGGCTCCGGCCACGGCCCACCAGGTCAAGCCAGAAGGCCCCGAGGAGAAGGACGTCCACCGGGCCTACGGAGGGGCCCGGCAGCGCGCCCAAGCACTGCAACGCACCCCAGCTACGAATGCTAGCACCGGCCACCAGCATCCCAGCGCGTCCGCATGTGCCAGCTGCGGGGATCGGCACGGCCGGAAGACCTGCCAGTTCTGCAACGTAGCTTGCCGCAGTTGCGGCCGCACGGGCCACATCGCGAAGGTTTGCCAAGCAAAGCCAATGAGACGGCCCCAGCCAGCACGCCAAAGAGCCGAGGCCCACTTCGAAGAGGACGCCGGCGCCGAGGACCTCTACCTCCTCACCCAGTCAGCGGAGAAGGTACTGAGACTCCCCGGCAAATCCCCTGCCCCCAAATTCATGGCCACTGTAAAAATAGAGGGGTCCCCTTGTGAGATGGAGGTGGATTCGGGTTCCGCCGCTTCAATAATCTCTGCGGCGATGCTTAAGCGCCTGTGCCCTAAGGGGGGACCCCGATTGCGGCCAGCCCTGGTGACGCTCATGGACTTTCAGTGGAACCAGGTGCCAATCAAGGGAGTCGGAACGTTCAGGGTGCAGTTTAAGAACTTTAAAAGGAACTTGGACTTAATAGTGGTCGAAGGCGACCTAGTCAGTTTACTGGGGCGGTCCTGGTTCGAACCTCTGGGAATCACAGTGGAGGGAGTACAGGCATGCACGACCCAGGACTTCAAGCGGATTTGCCAAGAATTTCCCGCGGTGTTTGATGACTCTCTGGGCCGGTATACGGGCCCCCCGGTGTCCTTGCGCTTAGACCCCGCAGTGGCCCCCATACGGATGCGTGCCAGGACGGTTCCATTATCGGTCAAGCCTAAGATAGACGTGGAACTGGACTGCCTCGTGGCACAAGGCATCCTGGAGCCCGTCTCCCACGCGGCGTGGGAGACGCCCATTGTAGTGGTGAATAAGCCGAATGGGGCAGTCCGCATCTGCGCGGATTATAAATGCACCTTGAACAAGGCACTACAGGACCACGCATATCTGGTCCCTGTGGTTAGCCACGTTCTGGCCACCTTGGGCGGGGCAAAGATCTTTGGGAAACTGGATCTAGCCCAAGCGTACCAGCAATTGCCAGTGGATGAGGCAACTGCAGAAGCGCAGACAATTGTTACCCACCGGGGGGCATTCCGTGTAAAGCGATTGAGTTTCGGGGTGAGCGTGACGCCCGGGCTGTTCCAGCAACTGATGGACTCTTTGCTTAAAGGGATCCCCGGCGTCACGCCATTCTTCGACGATGTGCTGATTGCCGCCGCCACGCCAGCTGACTTCGCGGATCGCCTCCGCGCTGTGCTCCGCTGTTTCCAAGACGCGGGCCTAAAAGTAAAGCTGGATAAGTGCCGTCTGGGAGTGCTGTCAGTGGACTTTCTGGGCTTCACAGTCGATGCTGAGGGCCTCCATCCGACCCGAGAGAAGGTGAAGGCGATTGTAGAGGCACCATCGCCAAAGTCCAAGGTTCTTGGGAATCCTGAACTTCTACCACGCCTTCCTCCCCCACAAGGCGGCGGTAGCGGAGCCCCTCCACCGATTGCTGGACAAGCAGGCTCCTTGGGTCTGGGGACCCCGGCAGGCCGCCGCGTTCCGGAACGTGAAGGAGCTTTTAATTTCCAACGCGGTCCTGACCCACTTTGACGAGTCGCTGCCGGTGGTCCTGGCGTGCGACGCCTCACCATACGGAGTGAGCGCTGTGCTGGCCCATCGCTTACCTGATGGTCGAGAGGTCCCGGTCGCATATTACTCGCGCACTCTATCTGCAGCAGAGCGGAACTACGCCCAGATAGATCGCGAGGGACTTGCAATCGTGGCCGGGGTCAAGAAATTCCACGACTTCGTCTATGGCCAGCCCTTCACAATCGCTACGGACCACCTCCCGCTTCTCGGCCTGTTCGCACCCGACCGCAGAACGCCGCAAGTCCTCTCCCCGCGCGTCCTGAGATGGACTATTTTCCTGGCAGGCTATGACTACCGCATTGAGCACCGTCCAGGAAAGGCCATGGGCCATGCTGACGCCCTCAGCTGCCTACCCCTGCCGGACGTCGTGGAGGACCCAGCTCCGGTGCACCGGGTCCTCCAGGTGGAGGACCTCCCGGACGCACCCCTCCAGGCCGCCGACATCGCCCACTGCTCGGCTCGGGACCCCCTCTTGTCCTGGGTGCTGGGCTGGGTGGTGAGGGGGTGACCTGCCAAGGTGGAGGGGATGGAATTCGCAGCATTCACGGCTCGCAAGGAGGAGCTATCGGTGCACAAAGGGTGCCTGCTGTGGGGAGACTGGGTCGTGCTCCCCAGCACCCTGCGGCAAAAGGTTCTACAAGCCTTGCACGAAGCACACCCGGGCATCGTGCGGATGAAAGGCCTCACGCGGAGCTACGTCTGGTGGCCGGGCATTGACGCAGAGGTGGAGGCTTGGGTGAAGCGATGCCCCACTTGCCAGGCCGTGAGGCCCAGCCCGCCGGGGGGCTCCCTCTCAATCCTGGGAATCCACACACACCCCGTGGTCTCGGCTGCACATAGACTTTGCTGGACCTTTCCATGGACTGTTGTTTCTGGTGATGGTGGATTCCCACTCCAAGTGGCTAGAGGTGAGCCCCGTCTCCGCAACTTCCGCCAAGGCAACCATCCGAGCCCTCCAAAAGATCTTCGCCACCCACGACCTGCCAGACACGATCGTCTCGGACAACGGGACGGCGTTCACGTCAGAGGAGTTCCAGCAATTCCTCAGTGGCAACCTGATCAGGCACATCAGGTCAGCGCCCTTCCACCCCGCGACCAACGGCCAAGCGGAGCGAATGGTGTGGACTACGAAGGAAGCGCTGAGCCGCTTGACGGAGGGGGACTGGGAGCAGAGAATCGCGCAGTTCCTCCTGGCACATCACACCACGCCCAACCCAGTGAGCGGCCGATGCCCAGCCGAGCTCCTCATGGGAAGGAGACCGCGAACGCTGCTGGACCGCCTACACCCGGATTGAGCTCCTGAGTTGCGAAACATGCCTGAGCAGCGGGAGGTGCCTCGAGGGTTTTTCCCGGAAGACCCGGTCTTCACCAAGAACTTCGGCAGGGGGCCAGAATGGCTAGCAGGGCGCATCATTCGGCTCCTTGGCGCGGTAATGTATGGGGTGTCAACCGAGTGCGGCCAAGTACTGCGGAGGCACATTGATCAGCTCCGTCGGCGCATGCTTCCGGAACACAGCAGCACGCAGGGCCTGGAACGACAGCCAGCCTGGGAAAATGACGAACAGGCACCTGCAGCTCAGGAAGCTATCCCGGAAGCGTCTCCCAACATTACGCCAGCCCCGCCGGCAATCGTGGAAGAGGGCCCAGCCACCGGCACAGCAGGGCCAGAAGGGCCTCCACTAGCAGCGAACCCCAATACAGCAGACGGGGCAACAGAAGGCACAACACCATCCCCCGACAGTCCACGAGAGAGCGACGGTCCCCGTCGTATCTAAAGGACTATGTGACCTAGGGTGGTTCCGAACTATGGGGGGAGGGATGTTGTGTATGCTGGCCGCCACCGGGGGCCAGCGAACTACCTGAGCTTGAATCTAGAGGACAATAGGGACTAGACTCCTAGTCCCTCCATCAGGGAACCAATGGGCACCGTGGCGGGAAATTCAAACCCACCAACGGGGTCCGGGGGTGTGTCCCTGGAGTGTATATAGTTGGCCTGCCGGCCGTTAGTTGTCCGTTCTTGTTGTGTACCTAATAAAGCGTGCCATGCATTACGTCCGTGTCAGTCATCTATCCATGCGGCAACCCACTACATAACAGGGCCACAAGGCCCCCTCGGCCAGGACTGCCGGCCTTTCTTCTTCTTCTTCTTCCCCAGGGAGGGAGGGAGGGAGGGAGAGGGAAAGAAAACTGGCCCGTCAGGGGGAAGTCTAACGACCACCAAAGCCCAAGGGAATGAGTCAGCCGTCTTTTTTTGGGGGGGGCTGCATCAACAGGGGTGTAGCGTCCAGATCACGCGAAGTTGTGGTTTCGCTTAACTCTGCTCTGAAGGGCTGTCCTGGAGAGGAGGGTGCTGAGTTGTCTTCTGTTGCCCCAGAAGGTCCAACCAGAACCAATGGGTTGAAATTAAATCAGAAGAATTTTTGGCTAAACAT